GCAAGAAGAAGTCAATATCCTTTTCGCTCAAGCTAACGTCTTTAAAATTCAACGCTTCGATTGACTTGAATTGGGAACCCTCCGCGACGAGAAGATCCCTAGGGAGACCGTACATGGGGTCGTCGTAGCAAGGTTCGAGGTTCAACTCGAGGCTCCGAACTTGTCGGGCGAACGCATACTCGAGCCATCGAGTGATTGGCTCCTCGTGTTGTAACCCTAGATAAGAACAGATTGCGAATTCTTTCAAGACGATGCATTTGTGCGATTCGAGGACTCGGTCCACCCAGCGCACGTATTTGCAACTCGTGTTGCGTCTCATTAAAACTGGCCGGAACTTAAAGTGTTTCGTCTTACCCCACGACGACGACCCACCGTCCATGTCTAGGTAGAGACGAGTGGTGTGTTTCCACAAGTTCGTCCAACGAGACGAGAGAACGCTCGTGCACGCGGATTCCTTTAGGGATAGGGAAGATAGGATTTCGACGAGGACTTCGTCGGGCAATCGACTTATCCGATCGTCTTCACGGCCAATGCATATCGTATCACACTGTTTATATAAACAAGATAATAGCCATTAAGTATATTGTTAATTGTCTTAGCACACACTATCAATTAACAAGACGAATGTATGTATCGTCAATTCGTATCTACAAATTATATATAATCGTATCGGGCAAACAAAATTAATTTGGGAGAATGATCCAAATTAAAACAATTGAGAAAAAAAGAGCATTAATCTTTGTATAAATCTCACCTCGGAATTAGTGCCGACTCGATTCGTATCCATCGAGCTTGAAAAGTTGAGAGAGGAAAAAAAAAATTGTTAGGAAACACTAAATTGATAGGGAGAATAATTTAGTGGCTTAATTAACACTCGAAACCCTAAACGAATTAATCTACTAATTTTTAATTACTCGAATATTCAGAAAAAAAAATTTAAATAAAATATATTGTGATGACGTGTAAAGATCGATCATGTGACTTTGATCACATACAGTACGTAAATAAAAATATAATTGCTTTGTTAGGGTGTTGACTGTTGGGGGAGAATTGAGGGATGATAATTTTGGCTTAATCCCACTTTGCACCCCTGAAATATAGCATTTTAGTACTTTGCATCCTTAAGAAAAATTAATAGCACTTGCACACTAAAAAACAATAAATCTTGCATAATGCCCCTGCAATGAATTTTTAAAGTTAATTAAGATAATTTAATATTTTTAATGGTAGATGTTTAGGATGCCAAATGTCAAATCAATTTTTTTTTGTCACGATATCTGAAAATCACATTTCTTCAAATATTTCTACCAAATATTTTCACCAATTACAATAAAAGATCCATGAATAGAATAACTTAGCGATAAAAGTTTATTTAATCTTACAACATTTTACAAATAAGCCCATCAGTAGGTACTTATTTATAAATGAGTTCACACAAAAATGTTTTTTACAAAAACATCCACACATTGTCTAGAGGTTTGTAAAAGAGTAAAATACAACTCAAAATTTTAATATGCTCCAAGTTCATCCATTAATTTAATGTAACCTCAATTTGACCCCAAATTTCACAAATTATTTAATTTTGACCAAAAACACAATTTTGAGTAAAATTTTGTCCTTCGCTGCCGTTGATCGCCGGTCTCGGCGCTGACTTTATTTTTTATTCCTGATTTTTCCGCCGGTTTCCAGTGTTCACTTTTTCTATTTTTTTTCCTTCAACATCTTTTTGCCCCCGTTTACACAACAATATTGTTGTGGTTGACAGTAATATTAACTATATTATTGTTAAACACATTACTATTAACTATACTACAGTTGAACACAATAATATTGCTATTTAATCTCTAGCACAATAATATTAACACAACAAAATTCATTATTATTGTGTAACAAAATAATATTAATATGTTGACCGTTCAACAAAGATAAACATATAAAAAGCCAAAAAAATTAATATGGTGTTGTTCACAGTAATATTATTGTAACAACAGTAGTATTAGCGTCAACCACAGTAATATTATTGTTTTTACAATAGTAGACAGTAGTATTATTACATTGCTCAATCGACACTCAAACAAAAAAAGAAAAGGTTGACAGTAATATTATTGTGTTTAAAGTTATTGTACTGCCAAAGATATATAGTAATGTAATTACGTTGACTTGTCAATAAATCAAACAAAATAAAAAAAAAACAAAAAAAAAAAAAATATTGTCGCTGACTCTAATTGTATTGTCAACGACATTACAATTACATAAATGTACCGTCAACGACAGTACAATTACGTTAATTACTGTCAACTACAGTATAATTACGTTAATATATTGTTAGTCACAATATAATTATTGTTAATGACAGTATAATTATGGTCAACGTTTAGCGACGGGGGTAAACGAATGGATAACAAATTTAGGAAAG